TAAGATACTTAGACTTTTACTCAAGTAATATTCCTAAAGGAGACTTTAACTTTTACCAAAGTAATTTTTGTTAAGATACTTAGACTTTTACTCAAGTAATATTCCTAAAGGAGACTTTAACTTTTACCAAAGTAATTTTTGTTAAGATACTTGTACTTTTACTCAAGTATCACTTTGTGGTACTTTATACAACACTGCACTTTATCCACTAACAGAGCTAACATGCATGTGTTTGGACTGTGGGAGAATCTGCACCCACCCATGCATTGCTCTTTATTTTAACAGTTAATTTTTACTATATTTTTTAAATGACTGCTTCTTCATAACTCCACCTTTTTGTGACAAAACTGTAAATTAAAAACAAGAGAGCTTGCTTTCTCTGCATCCACATGCAAATAGGATCAACACTTGGTTTTGAGGACGTGAACGACTCCGAGACTTCTTAAACCAACTAGTTTGTCATTGGCTCAGAGCCCTCCTTGGCTCTGAATGGGTTTGGGGGTTTGGTGCAGTGCTGTAAAGGCAAACAAAGAGTATTCTGTTAAAGGGATTTCCCATCTCATCCAGTAAGAGGCTGTTCAACTAACTCCCTGCAGGTAGTTGGTTTGCTGCCAGGCAAAAGAAAAATCACAGCCTGTTGTTTAAATTTGTACACATTGTTTAAATGTGTGTGTGTTTGTGTGTGTGATCACACACTCAAGTTTTTAAATTGTTTTTTTAACTTTACAACCTCACATATGTGCTCATGAAGTATAATTAATTTCCAAATGAATTGCAATTAGAATTGCAACCAGGAACCAGTTATTTCCAATTTTATTTCAGAGATAATAATAGGATTCATGCATCTATGTGTGTGTCTGTTTGTGTGTGTGTGTGTGTGCGCCATCCGGTTATGACCTTCTGCTGCCTGTGCCCTCACCCTCGCACGCAGACGTGCACGAGGCCCAACACTTGTGCAGCTCCGCCACACACCAGATGTTTGAGACAGTCACCCAGTCGTCACTCGTTCCTGGAGCAGCGCTGTCTGAGAGCCATCTGGCGCCGATTTATTTGTGACCACAGTTTGTTTCTGTTGCATGTTTGCAGAAATCAATTTTGAAAAACTACATTTATCGGAAACTAAAAACTGCGCACCGTCACAACGCATTTTCTGAGGTACRTGGTTGAACCCTGGGAAAAAAACAAAACAGGTTAAATATAAGTGTGAGACCTATTTTCTTTTAAACAACTCAGTTTGTAAAAATATAAAACAAGAAAATAAGTAAATAAATAAATAAATAACATCATATTCTGTTATTTAACAGCAGCCAACCTATTTTCCGCATTCTCTGGTTTGTCCCACTTGTTTTCTCACCTTTGTATGAATATCTTTTATTTCTTTCAGACAATGTGGAAGTGTTGTTATGGTTTGTTTTGTATGTCTTGACAGTTTGTTAGTTAAATGTGATAGTGGGGTGTTACAGCTGACACATGCCAGATTGGTAAGAGGCTGGCTGCTGATGTTTGATCTCCCTTTATGATTTTGGCTCAGCAGCATCCTTCATATTTTTTAACGATATCCTTATAATTACGGAAATGATGTTCTGACAATGTTTCCTTTGTGCTCAGTGTTCTGTGGCTGATGTCACAGCTGAAACACTTATTGATAGCAGAGCTWAACCTAACTTTATAAATGACAGGACTGTCCCTTAAGATAAAAGTCTTGTTCTGAAACACAGAACTGTCTTTGATTC